CTCTAACGATTCTACCTTTTCCATCAAACATTTCTTAACACTATACTTAAAACTAGAATAAACAGAATTTGTCCTAACTTGCTGTGGTAGAGAGTTCCAAGACTTCATTGCAATATAAGTATAAGTTTTTCCCACTGCTTCCCACCCTCTGTTTAAAAATAGACATCTCACCTTCCCTTGTATTGAAACTAATGGACTTCTGACGTTAACAATGAAACCTTCTGTCATATACTGTGTGCCGAGATTATGTATATTTTAAAAACCCTATTGACCTTCAGTTGCATTACCCTAAACTCTACAGGTACCCAATTTACAGCCCTGAACTCTCTAGCACCTATGTGTGCTCTAGAACCTAGGTTGAGAACACATCTAATAGCTTTATTTTGACACACTTGCAGCTTAGCCCTTGTGCGCTTTGTGAGACTGCTGTACCATATGCTGCTTGCATAGTCGAAGTGACATTGAATTAGGGCAGAAACTAGTAATCTTTTACATGCCGTGTTTAAATACTTAGCTTTTCTGGAAAGAAATTTCAATCTATTGTTAATCTTTTTTACAACCTTAATTCCCGTTATCTCACCACTCATGGTGTCTTCCAAGTCTATTCCTAGATACTTAACTGTATTTTTATGTGCAATTGCCACCCCATTACATTGATGTCCAGTTTGTGATTATTCCTGAGTTTGTGTTTAGTTCCAAAAATAATACTTAAGTTTTTCCAAGATGCAAGGATAAATTATTATCGTTGAGCCATTTATTAATGGAATGCAATTCTCTACTTAATTCTTCCTGTATAGCCTGTACCTCTGTCCGAAACTACTAAGGCCGAATCGTCAGCATATGATAAAGCTTGACGTTAGCTGCCTTTGCCATATGTCATTAACATAAATCAGAAGTAACAGAGGACCCAAAATCGAGCCTTGTGGTACTCCACATGTAATAGGGTCCTTATTAGAGAAGGTACCTCCTACATCAGTTAATTGGCTTCTACCAGAGAGATAAGCACCGAACCATTTAACAGTCCTATATCCATTCCGATAGTTTTAGCTTGGCTAGTAGGATTTTATGGTCAACGTATCAAAAGCTTTTTGAAGATCTAATAAAACCATACCAGTTAGATTTCCTTTGTCGCACTCATAATACGAATAATATCAGTTAGATGGATTAAACTTGTGTCAGTTGAAAATTTTGATCTAAAGCCAGATTGGAACTCATACAGTAAGGAATTTTCTATTAAATATTTCTCTATTTGGTTATAGGCTATTCGCTCCAAAACTTTGGACATGACACTTAAAATTGACACAGGCCTATAGTTTCCGGTTCTGTTTGCTATTCTTTTTATGTATCGGAATGACCCTTGCTGCCTTCATGCCATCAGGGATTTTTCCTTGATGAATGACATGTTGATTACATATGTGTAAGAGCTGAGCAAATAACGTTTGATCCATCTTTTATAAATTTTGCAGGAATATTATATCTAACCCAATAGCCTTACCCGTATTAATGTTTTTCAGCACCCGCAGCACCTCTTCCTCTCCCATCGTTGTAAAAAGTAAATGAATTTTCTACTACGCCTTTGTCCCTATATAATTTTGAAGACTAATCTCATCATACGTCCTTCTTTTTGTGGTAGATCGTTCACGCAGCAGTTTGAGGCCACACTTGTGAAATACTTATTAAAATTATTTGCAACATTGCTTTGTCAAAACATATATTTTCTCCAATTTTTAGCCCCACCCCGCCCAAGTTACTGGTTCCCTCATTTTTTCATCCCCATACTCTTTAAAGTCTGCCATAATTTTTTAGGGTCATTTTTGTGGTCCTCAACCTTTTTGAATGTAATTAGCCTTTGCTTTCTTAAATTTTATTTTGAACTTTGTTTCTAAGCAATTTAAAATTCTTGTATGTAATTTCATCTTTCTCCTTGTATAAAGCAGTAATTTTCTATCTCTTTCCAGAATAAGCTCCCTAATCTCGCTATCAAACCATGGCTCAGTTCTTTGTTTTATCTAACTTGTTTAATAGGGGCGACAGGTCAATGGCCTCTAGGAGGTATTTTTGAAAAATTTCCATGCAAAGAATCCGCATTAAAATTTTTACACCATTGCTTCTCTATTTAACTTATCTCTAAATACCTCTGGACTATATGTTTTTAATGATCTAATTCTCCTAGTTTTATGCTTACCTATAGCCTGTCTAGAAGTTTTCCTAGTAGAGTAAGTTAAAAAATGATCACTCCTCACTCCCTTGGCTATGATGCCTGATTGACTAATTTTGAGAGGCATCAGAAAACCATTATTAAATCGATGGCGGACTCACTTATATTAGTTACTCTGGTCGGAGTAGTGATTAGTTTGTTTGAGATATATTGGTAGCAGTAATCTTTAAGAGCCTTAAGCATTCTATCACATTTTCCGTTGATTTTTCTAGAACGTTAACATTGAAATCCCCTAATATAATAATTTCCTGCTCATTGAACCTGTCAGCATTTATTACTAATATTTTCCAATAGTTCGAAGAAGTTGCCTTGTTTTTGGTGTCGATAGCATACCCCGGTCAATATTGGTTTCGATTTTGGTAGTAAGATATCAACCCATATAGCTTCTAGCCCCACTTTATCCATATCAGTTCGTATATTATATGCTAAATCATTCCTGATGAAATACACACCCCACACCTGATCTATCCTATCCCCTTTCTACACTATAATTTTCAATTTTAATTTCGAGTCATCAACCTGAATCATCTAGCCAGGACTCAGATACCGCAATCACTGCAATTCTAGCTTGCATGCAATATATCTAAATTATTCTATTTTAGGAAGGATACTGCGAGCATTTAAATGAATGAAATGTAGACTTTCTTTGGGAAAGCTGATTTCTGATGTGGCGCGATGGCATGGGTTTACTCCTGTCATTATTAATCCTGTGTCTCGTTGAAACTTATCTCCGGGTCTTGAAGTGTAGTCAGCTTTGGAGTTTCTCAGGGATTGGTTCCTCCGACGCTAGCACAATTATGTATCCTGTGCTTCATCTGATGCCTTGAGGCCCCAACCTTCTAGTTTTCTTGATGAACTTTAAGGAAGTTTCCAGCCAGTCGATCTCCTCCCTTCCTGTTTAGGTGATAAGTTTCCTGCTAATTTTCTAAATAATTATTTGTTATTCGATGAATCGTCCCAGGCAGCCACAGCGATACTCGTGCCTAGTATGGTTGTGACTCGGGCGGGATAGTTTAAGACATGCGCTCCTGCATTCTTCCATGCAACCTGTGATCCATGGATACCTTTGATGTCATACTTATCGCGAGAAAGAAGCCTGTCAAGGTCCGAGGCAACTGGTACTGTATAACTTACTGGTGGATTTGATCGATTATTTTTTACGAAAGTTGGCGCCAGAATGCCATATTTTACTGCATACGCGTGTAGACGAGGTAGATAATGGAACCTTTAGCGAGGTAATCAATGAAAGTGAAACTGCGTGGATATTGAAGAAGAGACAATAAATCATTACTTGTGAAAGTACCATTGTAAATTATAATGCATTATTTACGTTTATATCGAAACAAACTAAACGCATATACTGGCTTTTCTGCTCTCAGTTGGCAATCCGTTTTATGCGTGTTTGTAGAGATCGAGTGGTACGGGATAAATTAATATTCCGTTTAAATAATTTCTAAATATTATTTGTTATTCGATGAACGTCCCAGCAGCCACAGGAACTCGTGCCTAGTATGGTTGTGATCGGCGGGATAGTTTAAGACATGCGTTCTTGCATTCTTCCATGCAACCTGTGATCCATGGATACCTTTGGGTCCATGAATGGGCTTCAGAGGGTCCGTAAACCCCCTTATATGCAAAATCTTGTGTTTATGGTGCTTATGTGGCATGGGTCCGTAAACCCCCTTATATGCAAAATCTTGTGTTTATGTGCTTATGTGCATTTTTCTGGGGAGGGGTCTGTAGTTTTCACCAGATTCTCAAAGGGGTCAATGACACACAAAAATGTTAAGGACCGCTCGTTTAAGAGGACTGCAGCCCGAAATGCGCACGCAATCATATACCCAAATATAGACATCTCTTATAGATCAAAGTTATGTTGTTATATGTTATATGTTAATATTATAAGTTAACATTCTCTATTTATGAAAACTCTCATCAGTGAATGGCAAGATTAGGTACGTCTGCTCAAATAACAACGTTTGTACACAGATTTGTAACAATCACAATAATTGCAAATTCAATTGTGGACAGTGACGCCCAGCTTATGTCGTATATATCATGAATTTTGTTCCACAGCAATTCACATATATTTACAAGTATTAATAACTTTATTTTGCCTTCAACATTTAGTATGTACAAAAGACTTTTCGTTCAAGTAAACACTTGAGTAGATGATAATTATATCAATGAGATATGGCTCACTGAACACGTACCCTGCTTTAGCTAACTTTAATTTAACCCTTACTTTAATGAACTACAATATGCATGTAAACAATCACAATTGAACAAAATATGCATCATGCATATTGCCACGATGTGATGCAATGAATTCCCAGCTCAGGATAAAATAATATCACCACGTACACAATGACAAACATGAAATCGGAGTGGACCCAGGTTTGCAACCTAAAGCCTGAATAATAACAGACAAAACAGCTTTCTTACCAACCGACAGACAGTATAAGACACAAAGAAGCAAATCTGTACAAAAATAGAGATTATAGTAAATGCCTAATGCTAGAACCTCACTGGTAATAAATAAAGTGTACAATTATACACAGCAGCTGTGAATTGGTTGTATTAATTGCTTTTGCGAGTTTACACCTATATCCGGACACCTTAACTTATCTAAATACGGCTGAATGTCCTTCCAGCAGCTGTTTGTTAACCATAGACACTTCATTCGTATGAAAAAGTAAGCGCAAACTATGCTTTCCTCTCTGATAGGTGTCAGCACTGTATGCGAAAATCCTCAAATACCACTAGTACAGTGCAGTGAAAACCATTGGCAATGCTATCATCTACTGCTCTTCATGTTTGCATGAACGAACAGAAAATTTAAGAAAAAACAGAACAGTGACAGAACCCCAAACACAACACTCTGAGATGATGAGCATACACAATTTTTGAATTGCGTGTCAAACTTTGATATTAAGGTATATATAGCATATACCCAATTACACATGACAACGGTCTTGGGTTCAATACAACTCCAGTTAATATTCTATTTACAATTTAAAGCTACCAAACACAAATATGGCACAAAGATTTACAATCAGTGTACTCCATCAACTTATGGTTTTACTCTACATGAACCTTCTGATCTCTTAGCAAGTAGCCTTTAACCTAGACACAAATAAGTTATAAATGGATAAAAAATACCTTGCATCAATTCAATTCTAAGCAAGCATCGTTATAATGAAGAATCTGAAGTTGGCTGACAAACGCCCGACCTTCAACGTATGATCTGTTCTTCGTGAAAAAGCAGAACGGTGAATAAAACGGACAGCTCTGATTATACGTGACACCAAAACCATCGCAACGACATTTCTCTCGAGAAGCATACAAAAGTCGCATGTATTTACAGTTACTGTTGAATAGCATAGTACTTCGAGCAGCAGTCGGTCGACCCCCACAAGCAGTCACTGGGTTTACCGTAAGGGTGTCACATTACACATGCACGCGTGCATTACACAAATACTGTTCGCAGGCCAATACTTTGCTTGATACATGGTCCAAGACGTCCATCCTCAAATACAGACATCCGTCGTCCACAGCTTACGCTGGTCACAGGTTTGACGTCTCTCGCAATGTGACCAGATATGGGCATCAGCATAGTCAAATGCTTGATGTGTTAGCATCCACCGTCTTGTGACCAGATAGACATCAGTTTACACTGGTCACAAGCTTGATGTGTTAGCGTCTCTCGCGACGTGACCAGATAGACAGTTTACACTAGTCACAGGTTCGACGTCCTTGCGTCTCCCACCATGTACGCGGAGGGCATCATCGGAGGCCGCGTCATCAACGGACCGCCGCCGTACGGCCGCACGATCGAGTTCTGCGGACAGTAGCCGACGCCCGGCCGCTGGTTGACGACCATCTGCGGCCGGTACTGCTGCGCGCCGACGCTCTGCATGTAGTTCCCCAGCACGCCACGACCCGCGGCGGCGGCAGCGGGGTGCTGCGGAAGCCCGGCCGGCGGCGGACTCTGCGACGCGCTGAGATTCGTCGAGCCCGTGTGCACGCTCGGACCGTTGCTCGAGTGCTGCGTGCTGCTAGAGTGTGCCACGCTGCCGCCGGCGAGCGCCACGGCGGCCGCCGCCGCGTTGCCGGCGTCCCACGCGCGCAGCCGCGCGTACAGCTCCTTGAACGACGGCCGCCGCGTCGGCACCTCGTGCCAGCACTCGACCATGAGCGCGTAGACGCGCGCGGGGCAGTCGTCCGGACACGGCAGGATCTGGTGGCCGCGCACCATCTCGATCACCTCCTGGTTGTTGTAGCCGTAGTACGGCTGCAGTCCGTAGCTGAAGATCTCCCAGAGCACGACGCCGTACGACCACACATCGCTCTCCATCGAAAACTTCCCGTAGAGGATCGCCTCCGGGGGCATCCACCGCACAGGCAGAAGCGACTTCGACTGCACGCGGTAGTAATCGGACGAGTAGATGTCGCGCGACAGCCCGAAGTCGGAGATCTTGATCGTCAGCTGGTCGCCGACGAGGCAGTTGCGCGCGGCGAGGTCGCGGTGAACAAAATGGCGGCTGGAGAGGTACTCCATGCCGGCGGAGATCTGGATGGCGATGTAGAAGAAGTCGGCGTGGTCGAGAAGGTGCTGGTTGTCCTCGCCACTGCTCATCGAGACGTCGGAGTGCGGCGAGCGCATGACGAGGAACTCGTGCAGGTCTCCCTGCAACGACGATTATTAACAATTATGAATGATTATTAATGATCCTTAACGAGCGCATGATGAGAAACTCGTGCAGGCCTCCCTGCCAGACATGACAGACACGCGGTAGAGCTACATAGCTATGGAGCTAGGCAGACACGAACCTGAGCCATAAACTCAAACAGCATACACATCGGCTCTTCCTTAATGCAGACTCCGATCAGACAGACAATGTTCGGATGACGTAGGTCAGTCATGAGATCCACTTCCCTCCGGAAATCCTGCTGGATCTTGGGGGACGCGTTCTCTTTAAGCGTCTTAACCGCGACCTAGACAATGGAGTAACAGAGAGCATTACAAATTGGTTCCATATCAAGAGCAAATAACACATAGAATGTATGACGGGAAAATGGGGAAAATAGTTTTATTATTTCAAAACTGTTTTACGGCAAACTTGCCGTAGCTCTTGGTTCCATCGTTAAATCAGTGTTATAAGAACACAAACTGTGAATGAGCATAACAGATGGAGTTGGTAAGTCGTTGAGAAAGAACCTGACTGCCGTGGCCACATGAAGTTAAAGCCGCAATATGCGCATCCAAACGCTAATTTCTCCAGTACGTACTAGACTAGCAAATACTTCGTGTCATGCATGTAATCACACTACATTATGACAAAATAAACTCTAGTTCCTCCCATTTCACTGCACGTTTGCTTAAAACCCACAAGAAAGAGGTGCAAAATCTGGCAATCTGGCGCCAACGCCGAATTGTTTGCCAACAAATTTAGCCCCGAATCGGTTAGGTGACGTCACATGTTGCTACGGGTTGCACCCGTTGTACGGTTGCTTGGCAGAGCAACACAAACGTGTCAATAACATCGGAGAATTTGAACAACATTGGAGGTATTTTCAAATACCTTTTATAAGACAACGCGCAGTGAAATGGGAGGAACTAGAGTTTATTTTGTCATAAGGTAGTGTGATTATGCATGACACGAAGTATTTGCTAGTCTAGTATTGGAGAAATTAGCTTTTGGATGCGCATATTGCGGCTTTAATGGAATCAATCTGAAAAAGCATGTAACGACGGTTAAAGCTCAAACGTATTGCCTCTGCTACGAGAGTATAATATATACATTACTACTATTATCTCCCGACAGATGGCGCTGCCAGCAGTTGATGACAAACCTGCGTTATGGCTACGTCTCCGTTGAGACCCATTAGCTCTCCCTTGTAGACTTTGCCGAAGGCTCCCTCACCCAGCTCCTGCTGGAAACGTATGTTCGTCATCGCAAACTCGCGCGCGCGTACTGGATTCTTCAGCTTTCCATTGAGGGGGCTCAGTTCCAGTGGGTTGCCAGTTCTACCTTGCCTGCAATTAGTATTACCCAAGCAATGTATTACTATGCAAATATTCTCGCTTCCCACCCGAGGGGGTAATTTCCCGATAAACACCGAAAACTGAAGGAGCTTGCCGCGCTTGAACCGTTGACGAAAATGCTTCGTCTAGCAAATATTTGCGAACACTTGCGAGACGGACGAGTGAAGAACGCGTACCCACGCGCAGGGTGTCACGATAGATATATGTACCCTAAACCCATAACCCTGCCATATATTGACAGCTGCTTGCATGGCTGTCAGCATTTGTCAGCGACTATGCTGGGTTGCAGTATGGTATCAAGGCTCATTATTACCTCCGCCAGGGGCTTGGCGGAGGTTATGTTTTCACCGGCGTGTGTTTGAGTGTTGGTTTGTGGGTTTGTGGGTTTGTGAACATGCACATTTCAGTTCACTTCCGCTAGGTGCGCTGGGTGTAGACTTACAAACACGCAACCACAGGCTAAGGGGCAACCACAGTCCTCCCCCACCTGCACGCTCGCACTAATCCGGATCCAATTAATTATTTAATTAATTAATTAATTAATTAATTTCTTCACTTAATTAATTCATTAATAAAAAATTTCACATTGAGAGAATTCAGCTGCTTTGGCTGAGGTCTGGGCTCTCCGAGTGCTCTAGTATATATATACTTTCAGTCTGAAGTCGATGCAGGCCCAACAGGCGAGATTGATATGAGTTATAAACACGTTATACACATGGTGTCACCTTTGCATGACAGCTAATTAATCACCCTTCATAATATATAGACATGATCTGCATGCCACCATGCACAGACACCGGTCTCATACATAATGCGCTTGTGCTTATAGACAATTAAAAACACCTATAGACTTAAGCTCTAGACCTTCGCTGTTTCACACTCACAGGCGTGCTGTGGAGTGTAGGGCTACACTGCTAGAGCTACTACACTGCTAGAGCTACTAAACACAGGCCTTACGTGTAATAAGGGTGATTTCACTTAATCTATAGCAGGGTTACGTTATCGTATTTCACATGTATTAGTGAGTGCGCATGTGTGTATGCGTGCAACACTATGCGAATGCTATTGTATATAAGTAGTATACACGTAGACTAGTGTGTGTGTGTGTGTGTGTGTGTGTGTGTGTGTGTGTGTGTGTGTGTGTGTGTGTGTGTGTGTGTGTGTGTGTGTGTGTGTGTGTGCATATGTTTGTGTATGTTTGCGCGTGTATGTGCATGCGTGTGCATGCATGTATGTGTAC